ACAGTATGTGGAAAATAATGTGTTTTTTGAACCTTAAACCGCATAAACACATTTCATTACACCAAATACACAAAATAATGTTCTTTTTAGCAACATCATATCTTGCACAGAATCAACTACACGAAAACACATCACTGCCAGGAGTTTTTGCCCAAACTTCAAAGGCCTGTTTAAATTATTAAAACTAGAGGCATTTATTAACTTTAAGATGACTTTTTATCATGTTAACTATATGTACAGCATGTTATATGCACGTGACAGAGGGGAACACGGCCGCATCACAGCATGCTGCCCATATCAAAGCACATGACAGACAGTTGTCGGAGAACACCTGAAAAGCGTGACCGAATGAACGATACTCGTCTGTATTTGCAGTACACAAGCCGCGGTTCAGCTGCGCGACAAACGCTGCCAGTGTGAAAGCACAATGGGCGAGCGCTGCTCCCGCTCTGCATACGCTCCGCTTCTGCGCTGCCTCTGCTCTGCTTACGGTGCGGTGTGCAGTGTGAAACGGGCATAACTTCTTAAAACCATCATCACTGAGCATTAAATTATTCACATGCACAATTATTTTTTAACTTGATTATTAAATTACCATACCTTAAATTATAAGTGATACAATGATTTGAATATACATCTTCTAGTTTCAATTTCTAAAATTATGTTGACATTTTTTTGTTGGGCTTAAAGTCACAATGTGACTGTGATAATGATTTTTATAAAAAGGCAACCTAGACTTCTGCTTTTTTATAAGAAGGCAAGGTTAGTTCAGATCAAACAAGTAAACAACTTAATGACATGAATTCATTATAAAATGATCACGCAACATTTTTAAAGTCAATAATTACATTTCAAAATTGTATAAACATGTTTTCAGAAATAAAACCAACATGAATACAAAGATTGCATTTCTAAGAAATCAAATCATCTTTCCCTCTAAAAACACCAGCACTTTTTGGTTACTGTGAACAAATGTTTAAGTAGCACTGCAACATGTTTACAGTTTGTCCCCAGATTGCCAGGGCACTGAAAAGCTTACTGAGTTTCAAGAGAACTCCTCTCTGCTCAGTTAAGCTGGGCCCGAGCTAGTCTGTCTCAGTATGCCACATGTCAGAGGGATTGATGGTCTGCCTCAATCCCCTCGGAGTGGGACACAAGCCTCGTCTGTCTCTAGCCATCAGACGCAGATGGCACAGCTAATGATGGCATCAGTCAGTGACAGGAAACACAGGAGGAACAAGCAGAGAGAGAGAGAGCAAAGAAAAAAACAAGACTACAGTGGTAATTCATTTTAAACCAGATATGCTACATAGCCTTGCATTTAAAACCAGACTGTGAAAAGAATGAACCTATGAATTTTAAATTAGCATGGCAACACACAAGACCATTAAACAATAATTTGCACCATGAGGTTGATAAGTAATGGATAAATGTGCAATCATTATCAAAAATAAGCCCATTCAGGGTGATAAGGACAAGGAGTTTATTTTAATAGTAATATTAAATAAAAAAATCTAAAACAAAAAAAATAATATAAAATAATAATAATGGTAAATATTTATTGTTTTAGATATTTTATAATAACAATAATAATAATAATAATAATAATAAAAATAATTTATTATTAGTTTTTACTTAGAGGTTTTATAATCATTAAATTGATTTTATTATTATAAATGTGTAATATTTCAGAATTATTATAATACAATATGAATAAATCTAAATGAAAAGTATTTTTTAAATATTTATATTGATTTAATTGATTTAATAATAAATAATAATTTATTTTA